CTTGACTAGAACTTATTCTATAACATTACGACGAATTAACAATACCACTGCACCTAATACCTTGGTGTATGACTCACTAATTTAACTATGATTCCCTATTTCCTTAGCCAAATTCGAAGTAAAACTAGGATATCCACGTTCGTTAATCCTCTAGCCACAACTTATAATGACCTATTTCTAGTGAATTACTAACTTGAACAATTATTCTATTTCAGATCGGTAGACTTACAGTCAATAATCTATAGTCATCTAATCTTACTCTATATGCTCGAAACACACAAAGAGCATTACAAACATGAATAATTGAATAATAATTATAGAATAGAAACTTTAAATAGTATCAAACATTTACATGGTTCAATAGAGTATAATCAATTTCATCTCAAATACCTAATCAATAGAGATTAGCTACGCATAATGCAATAAATAATTAACACGAGTTTATATGAAGCGTAAATGAAATTCCAGGGAGAATTTGTCTCCAATGGCTCCTAAAATATCCAAAATTTCACTAAAATTTGTCTTTAGCCGTCACTTTCATATTCTAAATATCATAACTTCCAAAGGCATACTCTCTCCTCCTTTTATACTACAAAAACATGGGAAAACAATCACCCATCGCGCACATGATACTCCAGATCGTGTACACGATGCAATTCCAAATCACAATCATGCACCGATGTATCCTATCATGCACCCGATACCTTTTTTCAGCTCCCAATGTGTGCATGAACCACACGATTTCCACACGATATTTCTAGTAGCAAATAGGCTAAAATGATTCAATGCATATCTAAATTTTGATTAATACCGTTCAATATACAAAAATGATAAGTCTAAGTCTTACTCCTAGTTTTGACATCATTCAAAATATTGCTAAGTTGAAGAATGCACTAACAAATGTGATAGATACCTTCGAGGGTGACCACTTTCACAGGGAGTGTGATTAGCACCTATATCCAGTCATGAGAAGGGGAATGGTGTGCTAGGGGACAAATAACTTTCTAGAGGTCTTGTGATTCTCTAATGATGAGAGATTCCATCTCCAAGAACCACTTGAGGTGTCGCTTCTCGTGGTTAGTGACCTCAAGGTGGAGTAACATATGCATTCTCTTACATTCTGAGGAGTTTTTCAGCTTACAGACGTGCATTATGCTATTAAACCAAATTGTAAATGTTGGTGAGCAATTCATTTTCTCCTTGCATAATTAAATTAACTTGGAGTTTTTGGAGGCTTTAGAGTATCTCTGATTCGGGTATTAGCATTTATGGCTCGAGGATGAAGAAATGAGAGGGTGAGAGATGTTACGAGGATATAATCAATATCTTATGCTGGAGGAGGCGAGACTTCTCGTGTGGGAGTTACAACATATATTGTCACCTCCCCAATGATGTTGGAATTGCGTTGCGAGGTTATTAGAGTTGAATTAGACGCCACTATAGTCAGTATAGTTAACCGATGATTAGTATTGAAGACATACCAGTTATGGATGGTGCAACGTTTAAGAGACTATAGATTTTCACGAGAATTCGTGAGAATAAGAAATTAATTCTCATAGATGATGTCATTGTTCCATCGCATAATGAGAGATCGATGATATGGAGAGAGGGAGTTCTTCTAGTGCGGCGGAGTGGGGTGGACTTGTAAGGTTAGCACTTCAACGTCAAAGCTAGTAAGATCAGAGAAGTGTAACCTGCAAGAATGAGAATGAAAGAATATGTGTTATAGCACGTGACAAAGTTTATACATAGTTAAAATCATCCACACTTTATTTGACGCGAGTTGCGAGGATTGTCTGATCAGATCTAATGGTGGCTAATGGACCACTAATTGTGAGACCTTCTAGCAAAATTTCACCTATTTAATACCTTTCATTAATGATACTTTAGATTGAGCATTTGGAGTAAGATGAATTTTATTGGACCTTTAATTGGTCCAAACACCCGGACTAATTTTGCATATATTAGTAATATTTATTATTAAGGGTTAATTTATACTTTAAAAGTTTAATCACAAATTTTTTAACTTATACTATTTTGTACGTATCTTCTTTATCATTAGCATACCCTCAGAGCACCTTTTTGTTTTTGTATACATATGAATTGTAGTGTGCTAAAGGGGATTGGGATTGGAGTTGTGAAGAGTGATAAAGAGAAATTTATGATCACCTTTGACATTTAGAAATTTAAAAAACAAAGGAATATATAGCATTTTTTAACTATTAATATGCATGTAAGAAATTGACAATGACTTTTCTTCCTGTGGATAGCCAATAAAGAATGATGTACTCTTATTGAAATTCCATTTTAGCATCTCTGTACTTGTTATTCGATCACGTTTTCTGCTCATATTTTGTTTTTTGTCAGAAAATGTTTGCCGAGGAAATTTAGCTTCTTTCACATCCAAATCCAAACCTTTGGCTGCTTAAAGCCTTAAACCATCAACTCGTACACATCAGTTATAGGAACAAGTTTTTTACTCTTCTACCCCACTGTTAAAAATTATATACTAAAATATTCTATTTTAAAAAAAGATTTTTTAGATATCCTATTTTCAGTACGTGCTTGTCCAATGAGTTGGCGAACAGACACATGATTTTTATGCATGTAGGTGTTCGTCTAATGAGTTGGCGAGTATCTTTTTATTTTATTTTGTTTTTTTTGTTTTTTTAGATTAAAATATTGTTTAATTAATTATAAAATATTCACATGCTCGCCAATTTATAGACGAGCACCTTCATGCATGTAAATTCTTCTTGTGTTTACCAACCTAGTGGATGAGTATATACTACACAGGAGCTATGTTGAAATTTTGTTTTTAAAATAGAATATTATGATATTTAATTTTCAGATATGGACTACTATAATAAAAAATTCTATAGGAACATTACATTACAATCAATTACATATATACATAATACATCTATGTTTCCTATTACTATCATATTTAGGTGTCCTTTTCCTTTTTGATGATGTTTTAATTCTTGCGATGTTTTGGATGTTTTGGATATTTTGGTAACTTTTGGTCAAACGTAGCACATTGAAAGAGGACATGAAGGGCTATGTAAATTTGCATGGAGAAGTCTTCTTTCTTTAGTAAACAGAATAAAATTATAAGTAAGGAAAAGGATAGTGTGGTTGAGTAGAATAAATAAAAGTGCTTCTGTATATACTTTTTTGTGCAAAGAGTTAGCCATTAATACCCATTAGGTGGTACTAGTAATAGTTCTCTATTTGATTCTCCTTAGTGGTCCAAAAGGGTGGCCAAATTTGACTTGAAAAGTAATATATTTTATATAAAAATAAGATGACCTCTTCTTTAATACAAACAAAATTAGGTGAGTAGATGATCTCCTCATTTTAAAATATTGCTTTCAAACTTATAAAATTATGAATGTACAATTTTTAAGACAACATTTTTTAATTTATTTGAATTAATTAAGTGTATTAAAGTAAGTGTTTATAGATTATTCTTACTCAACATTCCTATGAGACATTTTAGTGTAAGGTACTAACAGATAAAAATACCTCTCTTTTCACTAAAACATCACAAAGACAGTTTGAATTTCAACTAAAATAAAATTGAAGCAATTATCACAAGCAAAAGGAATGAGGCTCAAGCTTTTTGTCAGTAGAGTTATCAAGGACTGAACAAGATATACTAGTACTTCCAACTCCAAAAGCAAAAGCTGTGGTTTCTCTTCTCCTTTTGCTTCTTTTTTTATTGAATTATTAAGAGGGCATTGATCAGATTATGTTAAAAGTTGAAAAAGTAGAGTAGCTGATGACGTCTCTCGGCACGCCAAGACCCCTTTTTGTGTAGAAAAAGGATTCTGCTGAAAGTTTTCTTTGCATTCGTAACATGTCGGGTTTAGACATACATAGCCAACAGCTATAACAAGAAGGAATATCATCACTCGGCTTATAGGTTCTCTGACAATAATTTTCTTGATGGATTGTCAGAGACATTGTAGTGTCTATTATGGATTCAAATGGTCCTGGAATAGGGTAACTTGAAACAGCATTGTTTTTGCTCAAGGAATAAATGAATGAGACATGGTATCAGATAACCGAACCGTGACCACCTATGTATAGGATATGTGGTTGGCTTTTAAGTAGATATAACCTATAATTTATATATATGTCATTGTTTTCATGCATCTAATTCCTTCCAAATCTCACATTACTTTTCCTTTTATCATTTCAGTTAGTACTACTACCAGTTAGACATTACATTCTTAATCTTTGTAATCTTTTTAAAAGTGAAATAAACACTTTCACAACAACATTAACTTCTTTAACTACTAATGAATTTTAACTAGATTTTACTGTAGCACCAGTACTGTACTCACATGAAAGCTCATCAAGGTGACATATCTCAGACATAGTACTGCTACTACAATAGTTATCACATTCTCTAAACCTGCCAAAAGTCATTTCTCTGTCCCACAACCCCATTATCTTTTTTTCTTGTTTATTATCATGTCTCATGTCTTTATTAACATGTCTGTGTGTAAATGGTTTGGGATGCGGGTAATTTCAGAATTCCATTAGATTCTTTTCTTCATGCATACATCATTCTCATAATTCCCCGAAGATTGTCATGTGAATCACTCATGATACCTCAAAAATACATACAACAATAATTAACACTGTGTTTAACATTGCATCGAATTTGTAAAAGAACGGTAAACACTACACTACTTAAGTTTTTGTTTCTTTTTGTTACAGTCACGTGTAAATGTGATGTGGGAAAAACAAGTGTGAATAGAGATTTAAAAGTGATCTTTGACAAAATATTAACACCTTTAGCACATGGTTAATTTTGATTGACCATTTCTAAGCCCTTTTAGTTAGCTTTTACTTCAACATCATCTCATTCCTCCTGCCAAAATCAGTACTATATATTTACACAACCCTCATGATGCTTCTCTCACCTCTCTACACTAATATTCAAAACTACCCTACACAAAGAGCTACTACCCCTCACACTAACTGACATGGAACCAATTAAATGTCAGCAGCCTGAATTTGTTCCAAGCGGCGGCCACCGCACCCCTTTGCCGGAGAGTCCTCGAGTTCCTATGGAGTTTCTGTCAAGGTCATGGAGTGCTTCAGCTCTTGAAGTCACAAAAGCTATTGCACCAACTCATTCTCAACCACCTCTTTCATCATGCATGCCTTCAAATGGTTCTGGTTCTATTCCTGAAGAAACCAGTATCTACTCTATCTCTGAAGAGCTCTCTACCATGTCTAAGAATCAGTTTTCTTTCACTTCCTCTGCTACTTCACAGCTCGTCCTTGAACGCATTATGTCACACTCTGCTAGAGAGGTATTTACTCTTTAATAATATCATCAAAAAACACACACATATATCAACTATGAACATTGTCTTTATTAATGTTGTTTGTTTGTATATATGTAACAGGAAGTGTCACCGTTAACATCAGGTAGATTATCTCACAGCAGTGAGCCTTTGAATGGTAATGGTTCATTAACAGGAACGGACAGTCCACCGATTTCTCATTCAGATGAATTTGACGATGTTGTCAAGGTATACAACATATTATTTCTAAACTTTGATCAAAGTTAGGACTATATTATTACCATGTTGTTTGTGCTTATACCTGTTAATGCTTCTGCAGTTTTTTCGGGCAAACAATTCCATTCACCCATTATTCAATGGTGGAAGAGCAAACGGGGCCATTGGCAATGTCACATCCAGTTCAAGACCTAAAACTGTAGGAAGGTGGTTGAAAGAGAGAAGAGAAAAAAAGAAAGAAGAAAACAGAACACATAATGCTCAGATGCATGCTACTATTAGCGTGGCCGCAGTTGCTGCTGCTATAGCAGCCATTGCAGCCGCAACAGCTGCCTCATCGACACCAAACAAGGACGAGAAGATGGCCAAGACTGACGTGGCTGTTGCTTCCGCTGCCACGTTAGTTGCTGCACAATGTGTGGAGGCTGCTGAAGCAATGGGAGCTGAGCGCGACCACCTTGCTTCGGTGGTCAGCTCAGCTGTGAACGTCCGTTCTCACGATGATATATCTACTCTTACTGCTGCAGCTGCCACAGGTAACACTTTTAGCACTTGTTTTTGGGAATCCATGCGGAGATAGCATCGCTATTCTTAATATTAGGATATGCCTTATATGCATGTGTTTATGGTCCTTGATATATAGCTCTCCGAGGAGCGGCGACATTAAAAGCTAGAGCTCTGAAGGACGTATGGAATGTTGCTGCAGTAACACCACTGGAGAAAGGAATAGGGGGCATGACAATAAGTGGAAAAGGGAACAACATAAACAACAGCAACAGCAGCACCAGTGACAGTGGAGAAATTATAAATGCAGATAATTTTACAGGTTCCGCTATTGAAGAGCTACTTGCAAAGGGCAGTGAATTGCTCAAACGCACCCGTAACGGTATCATTATCATCAATTACACATGATGCGATTAAAACTAACTCAAGATCTGGTCTGAACAAAAGTTTATTTTTGTTGTAATCGCAGGCGATCTCCATTGGAAAATAGTTTCTGTTTACATACATCGAACCGGACAGGTAAAGCTAAAAATGAAGAGCAAACTTGTTGCAGGAAAAATTACAAAAAAGAACAAGAGTAAGTTTCCAATAGCTTCACAACTTAATCTGTTTTCACTAGTCTTAAGGTACATAAGCCAAATAACTTTGTCCTCTTCAATATGCAGATATTGTGCTAGATGTGTGCACAGATTTACCAGCATGGCCAGGAAGAGATATTTTAGAAGATGGAGAAAAACGACACTACTTCGGATTGAAAACAGACACGAGAGGAATCGTCGAGTTCGAGTGTAGAACTCAAAAAGAATATGATATATGGACGCAAGGAGTTTCTAGGCTTCTGTCAATCGTCAGGCAAAGACAAAACAAATACAACAATTGAACCTCTCATCACCTTTGCAGAGTTTTTAATTTTCTTGTACTATTTTGTACATAAATTGTTTTTAACTTAATGCACCTTTTGGTTTTTGTAAACATTTGAATTGTAGTGTGCTAAAGGGATTGAGAATGGAACGGTGAGAGTGATAAAAGAGAAATTTATAACTACTACCGACTTTTAAGAAATTTTGAAAACAATAGATTAATTTTTTAACTACTAATATGCAAGTAGGAAATTGGTAATGATTTTTCTTCCGGTGGGTTGCCAATAAATAATAAAGAATGACAACACTTATTTCAATTCTCTTTTATCACCTCTGTACTTGTTTATTTGATGACCTTCTCTGCTCATATTTTGTTGTGTCAGTAGATGTTTGGCTGCTTAAAGCCTTAAACCATCAACCCGTACACATCAATTATAGCAACATTACATTACAATCAATTACGTATTTACATTATGTTACCTATTACTATCATATTTAGGTGTCACTTTCCTTTTTGGTCATGTATTAATTCTTACGATGTTTTGGATATTTTGGTAACTTTTGGTCATACGTAGCACATAATAAGACGAAATGAGGGGCATGGAGAAGTCTTCTTTCTTTAGTAAACAGAAAAATTAAAAGTAAGGAAAAGGAAAACAAAAAAGTGCGGTTCAATAGAATAAATAAAATTGCTTGCGTATACCTTTTTTTTTGTGTGCAAAGAGCTAGCCATTATACCGATTAGGTGGTGTACTAGTTATCTATTTAATTGTCCTTAGTGCTCCAAAAGGATGGCCAAATTTGACTCTAAAACTTATCCATTTTATATCAAGTAATAGAAAATTTCTTATTCTACTCAATATATTTTTAATGTAGTATGTGAATTTGTACATATATTCCGTGATTTCGGAAATATATTTTCGGACATACATATTTTTAAATATACATTGATATATTTTAGAGATGGATCTCCAAAACCATTTTAAATATTTAAAACGTGTCACTCATAAATCATTTATAATTGCATTGTTCCGGATATGCATCTCCGGTAATATTCTGGAGATACATCTCCGAAGTGTATCAGAACATATTTTTTTGCATCTAAGTCGTGTATTTGTTTTCAGATTAAGTATGGAGTACGATCTCGAATAAAAAGATAAACGTACAAAATAATAAGAGGCTAATACTAGATGTGTCGAAAATTATATAGCAATATATGTAGAAAATATCGTACAATCGAGATCCAAAATATAATAAAACCGTAAAATTAAAATAGATAGTATAGTAATACAACAAAATATTACAGACTACTATTGTGTGTGTCTGACAACATCTCTTATACCTCATCTGCCTCCTCTTCCTTCTCTGCCTCCCGGCCGTCAACCCCCCCCCCCCCCCCCCCATCCTCCGACGATGTCTCCGATACATAGTGCCCCATGTGCCTTCGCCATGATCGCATCTAGGACTCGCTTAACAGCATACCCATCAGTGAAGATGCCCTCTTCAATATCTGGCCACACAATCTCCACTAGGCGATGACACCTAGGTAATACATTATTAGTATGATCTAACTGAGTTTGCTCCTCCTCTAGTATCTCCTGATGAACTGGTCTCAGCGGATCTCTTGAAGCAGTCTACACCATGTACGGATGTGACAGCCTAAAGAACCATGTGATGTACCCCTCGACGTAGCTCCAGTCGTTCGGTGCTATGGTAGCTCATGGCTCCTCCGGAACCAGATGACTCTTATAATCAGCAAACATTTCCTCTATTTGTTTACGAGTCAAGGTAGGAGGAGCAGAGACAATATGGTGTATGGGGATGATCTAGGTGTACCTGAAATTCCATATGACGCGATCAGGCATGTGAGGGAAAGTGATACGCGATCTGCAAGCCAGCCATCTGGAGAATAGAAATATCTCGTCAAATGGTCGCGTCTGACGATGATCCACGTAGTTGTTGAAGTGCATATCCTCAGCAACCAAACAGTCAAGATAAACTCTGAAAGGTTCGACCGTCTAGTTCCCTTTGAGCGGGATAAAATCACAGGCATAAGGCATGCCCTTAGTGTACTCATCCACACTTGTCCAGCTAGCGATGCGTGGAAAGTGATGGAGGATCCAAGACTGAAATGAAAATAAAAAAACATTCAAGGATCAAGAATTACCAGCAATGGTTTCGCAAATATAAAATGAAAATGACAAAACATTATTCAAGGATCAAGAAATATTACCACCAGTAATGTCACATTGCATGTGACCTACTACGTCTTCCACAAACATCTCTCCCTCAACTTCGAATAAAGATAGGTCAGGCAAGCCTCCCCCCAGTTGTACTCATGGATCTGCTGTAGATCCAAGAAGTATCGGAGGTAGACGTTGTCAGTATAAGTGACACTCATGTCCACAAAAATACAAGTGCTAACCAAAAAAGAAAAGTATGTGTCTTGTGTACCACCACCTATTCAGCATCACCATGTGCCTGATGTGCCTTCTCAATCTCTGCCACATACAACTTTCTCAGGAACTCAAATCTAGCATGAACACCCCTGATGTTATCCACCTCCTCCATCGCCTTCTCTAGATCTTTCCACAGATGCTCTATCATCATCTCAACTGCCTCGTCTCTGATAATCCTCCCATGATCGAGAAATCTCCCCCTGATCGGAAGATGTAACAAACATGACACATCGCCTAGTGTGATAGACATCTCACCATGCAGAAGATGAAACGAAGAGGTCTTAGAGTGACATCTCTCCACAAATGCATTATCCCGTGGTTGACCAGGTTGTACATGGTCATGCATATGTCCTTTAGATCAGATAAAGATAGAATCATCTAAAACCAATCCTTCTCATGCTGAGGCAATGCGGCAATTTTCTTTACCATGGTTAAAAATCTTCTAGGGATCACACTTCTAAAATTTTCCAAAAATAATCAATGTCAGAAATAATCAATGTCATCAATTAAAGTAGACATACAAAACAAATAAAAAAAATCCAACTAATGCTAACTCTTCGTCCGTGATATGTTTGGCAATATGGTCTAGATACATAGAAAGTAAGGATAAATCAGATGGACCTCCTCCAAAACCCTCTACCTCGGCATCCACAGCAGCCTCACCCTCTAGAGGTGGTACTAGATCAACATGATCACCAACGGGAGGTGGTAGTGGATCAGCAGAAGGTGGAACTGGTGAATTCTGACGCCTGCGGGAGGATGGGAGAAGTGACGCGGCAGCTGGTGAATTCCTTCTTATACGGGAATAAGAAGAAGGTGAAGTGGTCTGAGATGGAGTGGCCTAAGATGAAGCACGACCCTTAGAAGTTGACATTGCCCCAGAAGTCGACGCCTCTTCCTTACCAGAGGTACTTACTTCCTCCAGAACCTACTGGCTCCGCTCTCTCCGAACGGATGCGTGCTGGGCAACCCATTCATGTCTGAGTCTGTCGACTCAGTCAACCATTATGCTTGTAAGTTAAAGTAATACATATCATTAGTGCATGAAAACTTAACACACAAACAAGATTTTTTATATAAAAAAACAGACTGCAGGAAATTTTGGAGATGCATCTCAGCAAACACCATAAAACAATAACGTTGAACAATTCCGGAAATGCATCTCTGAAAATACCATAAAACTATTAACTTTGAAGAGTTTTGGAGATGCATCTCTAGAAATTCCCAAAGCATATGAAACGCTGAACAATTTCAGAGATGTATCTTCGAAATGTTTTGCAACTCAGAGGTTGCGACCATGGCGTAATGTGCCACATGAAATGTGAAACGCAAAATGACATGATCGCCATTTTGAGACAGCAAACAAGTCATACACTAAGTCTAAACTATGTTACATGTGATTTTTACACATTTCAACCCCTAATCATTGATTTCTGCACATTTACACTAAAACTCAAATATTTACTGAAAACTCAAAAAAACTTATGTGAAATTGATGATTGAGATGTTGTTTCCGATATTAGAGATGATGCTTGATGTTTCCTTAAGTTCCTTTGAATCTTGTTTGATGAAATTTGATTTGGTGTAGGGGAGTGCACTGAGAAGAGTTTGATGTTGTGTGTTGAACAAACTATGAAATGAGAGAGGAGAAGAGTCTGACGCGACTTATGCTCCAAATTGTTCCGGAGATATATCTCCAAAATATTTCAATGTTCAATGAACTTTGGGTGCATTCAGATATATATCTCCGAAATCAGAGAACAAATGTGAAAATTCACATGGTGCGGTAAAAATACATAGAGTACTATAAGAAATTCTCAAATAAAATGACTTTCTTTTAATGTAAACAAAATTAAGTGAGTAGATGATGTCCGGTTAAATGTGAGAAAACATGGTATGAATTACCCTATCCTATTAAGTTTGTCTTAAAACAAGTTTATTTTAAATTTTCAATTCAATTTTAGTTTTCTTCTTTTAATTTTATTTTCTAATAAATTCTCCCGATTTACTATTTTTCTTCTCTTCGTTAATGATAATTAGAATACACCAATAATTATAAAAAATTATTTGGTAAAATTGTTATTTCTTTTTCTTTTATCACATTTTGTTAATATGTATGCAATTGAAATTGTCAAATATGACACTTATTTAGAGACGAAGGTAGTACTCCATTCGTCGCACAATATGTGTCCTCTTTTCTAATTTTATTTGTCTCAAATTATTTATCCTTTTAGAATATAAATGTGATATTTTTTTATTAACTTACTTTTGTTTATTGTATTTTAATTAATTTAACTACTCCACTATCTATTATTAATAAAATTATTTTAGTAGATGACACTCGTTTCATTATTGAAATTAACACAATTAATCATTAAATGTAAAAATTTTAAAGATGACACCTATTGTGAGATACAAGGAATATATTTTATCTCACTCTAAAGAGACAAAAGAGAATAAGAAATGACTTGGTTCCTGAAATATGCATTTATGTGATGACTGTGGGGGCCGATCGGCCGGTGAACTCCTCCATCTTTGAAAGTTTCAATGGAGCCTCCACCTGTTATTAAGATAATTCAACTAGTTCAGACGACTGCAAGCTTGTCACTGGAAAAATATATTGAAACTATATAAGCATCTTACAAGAGGTGCAAGTGCTTCATGTGAAAGTCTCCCAATCTTTGATGGATCCTTCTCATATTGCTCAATGTATAGTCGAATAGTTGCACCTTCTGATCCAGTTCCAGAGAGACGGAAGATCTGAGAAAGTAAAGCAAAGAAGGTAAAAAGACAAAATAGTTAGGAGGTAAGTATGAAAAAGTGAATATATCCATGGAAACAAAAAGTCCATATCAAATCCATAGCACTTGGAAAAGGTGAACTGAAATTAACAATTATTTGTTAAATCCATAGCACTTGGAAAAGATAAACTGAAGCTAACAATTATTTGTTAGACAAAATGCATTTTCAAATCTAGTCCACGTGCATTTTCTATCCCAATAAGCTAGTAATAGATGTTCAGTAAGCTTTTCATCAAAAAGAGTATAATATAATAGTAAACTTACCAATCGGGATCCATCCTCAAACAAATATCGGATGCCCTGATGTGATGAAATGGAACCATCCACAGGATCATTGTATTCAAACTCATCACCGTGAACAACCTTTGAAACATAGTCTAATAGCCTCTTGGGTAACTCCATTGGCTTTCACGGTATCTGCATGTTGCACAAAGATCGAAAGATGAAGATTCGGGTCCTCGGTAGGATTTCCGGCGAATTGATTTTGTTGCACGGCTGATATCAACGAAGGTTTTAGTTCGAAATCGTTTCGGTTGATAGCCGGTGCTGCAATGCTTGAATGCGGTTCACCTTGCGAAGGATTAGCGTAATACTTGAGTGAATGAGTTTGTTCTTCAGCCATCCCTGCGTCCTCTGATTTTATGACTGGTTTAGGCGGATCTAATTGAAGATCTGGAATATTGGAATTATTTTCGAAATCGAATATACGTCTTCTTACGTGTAAGAAGCGCTCCGATTCAGGGATTAGAGGTTGCAAGTCTTCGCTTTTAGAGCGAGTACTTGGCATACACTCGGAGATTAGATTAAATTAAATAGTTGATACCTTAGTCTAGACAATGCTACCTAAATGCACTAGTAACTAAATTAAGGAATCCCCGGCAACGGCGCCAAAAACTTGATGGGCTAAAGACGTGTCTACTTATGCGTCTAGCAGTATCTTACTGCAAGTGCACAGCCTATCGAAGTAATATTTAAGATTATCGATCCACAGGGATTCTATTGTTACTTAGTGCTAGATGAATTTCTAGTTTAGCTAAGGCGAATGGTTGTCACGATTGTTGTTGGTTTTTAAGACTATTAAAGGCGGAATTAAATTTAAGTTTTTAATAAAGTAATACTAAGGCGGTCGGTATGTAATTATATTAACTTAGGTGGGTCAATCTAACCTAGGCTTATAGAGATGTTCACTTAATCTATTCGGTAGAGATTACCAGTTTAAATACCCTCAACTCACACTCTCGTGGTCTTATATCGGATCTTATCCCTAAAGCCCTATGCCTGCTCTCGCTAGCCCATAAGTGTTTAGAGATAATTTTTGGAAACTAAGTAATTCTAATTTATCTTAAAGCGCTCTCGCTGTGTTTAATTTAAATGCCTAACTTTAGCTATCTGGTTAAAATCTCACACTCTCGTGGTCTTGACCCAACCTAATACCCTTTTCTTACTCTCGTAACGAAAAGGTCTATTTCAATTAAAAAGTATCAGCCAGAATGTTAAGTGATTAATTATTTTCAGCCTATAGTTGTATTTTACCGGTTAAGTTCGTTATAACTACATACCGCCCTAAGGTGTTTAGCTACTCATCGAGGTTGAACCAAGCAGAAGCAGAGAATTTAATACTAACGTACTCATGGCAGAAAAATAAATAGACATTATAACTAAATTAAATTGCAATATAATAAAAACCTGGTTAACAAATATTCGAGCAGACTCCTTCTTCCACAGGTCGGAAAGCTTGGAGTAGGCGGCAATTAAAAATAAACGAATGCTGAAGGTTCAGAAACAAATAAATGTGTAACAATTTCCTGATGTTGGAAATTGTTATACGGTTGGTTTGGATACAAATAAAAACGAAACAGAAACTAAAAATAATGCTGGAATGGAAATGCTGGTTCGTAAGGCAGTTTGGCAGAGCTTCCGCAGGAATTTTGAATAAAGAAGTCTGTCCCCAGTGTTCACAGAGCTTGTGCTATTTATAGAGTCTTTAATGGGCTGGGTTCTTGGTCCTTTGTTGCATGGGCCTTGCTGAAGTTGTTGAAGGAATGCTGGAACGTGGCAACAAAAATGGGAGAAGTGGTCTTCACGTAATGCCTTGAGGAGAAATAAGAGGAGAAGTGGTCTTCAAGTAGTGCCTTGACGTAGTCTGAGTCAAAACCAAGTTTTATCCTTGTCACGGGCGTGACAAGGTCTTCACGTTCGTTATTTGAGGATTTTAAGTGTCACGGTCGTGACCACTCTCTTACGGTCGTGATGGCCCAAATTGGGGTGTCACGGTCGTGACACCCTTGTAACGATTGTGGCTGCAACAAATTATGCAGTCTTTTTGCAGGCTTCTACATTTCTTCATCTCCTTGTGGTCTCTTTTGTTCCTTTTCTCTTAATTCATGATTTAGCTTCATATAACGATGTACCTGCAAAATAGTAAGAAAAACTCGAGAAATCGAGTGTTAAAACGGTGAATACGCGATAAAACGTCAATGGAATCTAGCGATATAATCGATGCGTTTTCTTGTTATCAAACTTCCCCAAACTTAAACCTTTGCTTGTCCTCAAGCAAATAGTCGGTTGAAAATCGGCGGACACGAGTTTATTCACGCATACTCATAACAAACCGTACGGTGGATCGTTTTGTCGGATAATCCGGTACTTTGATAGAACACTACCGATACACTAATGACACAAGCAACAAGCTATGTCGTCGACTTCCCGTCAAACGAAACAATCGACAATCACATTACGATTTCACCTAGAGTTTTTCGATCTTATTTCGCCCGGTTTCGTTCTAGCGCAGTCACATTAAGCCCTTTGCCTTAGCACGCACGTAGTGGAGTAGCCGGTTAGCGATTTTGATCCTTTTTGAGCACGGGGTCTGGTACACGAGTGTGGTAACCCTTTATGTTTTATCCGATTTGGAGGTTGTGGGGGATCGAGCCGTAGCACGCCCTACCGAGTTCAGAACCAGTACCTCTGAACCAACTCGCAACGGATTCCTTCTCATATTTCTCGTTTCTTATATGCGACCGTGTACTTTGGTGCAATTTCTTTTCATTTTGCATCGAGATATGAAGGATCATTATTGATTAGGCATCAAACGCTTATATTCATCGGCTCCCCACGTGGTTTGTGTTCAGACGGTGCTAACTGCTAGTATAAACTACTAGGGGTTACTTTTGAACTGAAACTAAAAGCGTACTCGTAATGGTAATCGGGATGGAATTGCCTAAGTAGGGAGTCAAAGATGTCAAGATTGTATTGATCTTGTTTAATCGTTCTTGGCTTCCTAGTTGCGATTCCGTAGGTAAGTCGGGTAATGCGAATAATTAGAGATTTTTTCTGGTACAGCTAAATAATCGGGGAAAGTTCGAGATTAAAGAAAATAGCGCAAAGATTTGCTCATTTCATTAATTTGCTAAAATAAATACAACGGAATTGAAAGTACAACGAAATGAAAAAGTGCGGAAATGAAAGGTACCTCTCCCACACTATATCAGACATTGTCCTCAATGTTGTGATATAAATGCGGTACAAATACAGTACAAGACTAAAACGAAAAACAAACATAAAAGTAAACTATGACTGCTGAGGACCGCGGGCTCGGCCTCTGGTGTGAGAGCGGCGTTTGGAGGGAGTCGCGTCAGGATCAGAACCGGTGCCGGAGGTAGCAGTAATGCTAATGCAGAGCGCTTCTAGCTCGCTGAAAATTTCTCCAAACCGCTCATTAGTGGCTTCCTGGTTTGCAGCAATAGTGCCGAGTAAAGCATCATACTGCGCCTTCTGCCTTCGCTCCAGTGCGGCGTTCATCTGGTTCTGCTGATGAATCGCAAGGAGGACTTCCTCAAGTGTGACTGCGGGAGCAGGGGGCTGTCGGGTAGATGTCTCTGGTATATCCTGGACAGGCTCAGCTGCATCCATAGCGTCCTGCATCTCGTCCGCTGGAGGGTCTGCCTGATCATCATGAACCGGGACGTGATCGACAGCAGCAGGTAAAACAAAGAGCCAGTTGGCTCGGTTGGATGGATCGATGCGGTTGCGGGACGGCAGAATGATGTGGTGGAAAATGGTGCCATTGACAACAGGACTATACCTGTCATCCTCTCGCTGCGCGATCAGGTGGGCGGACCTGCAATAGCTCTTGGTGAGGAATTCGGCGGCTAGGTGAGGCTGATTAACGAGCGCGTCACCAAGCCCCAACTGAATGGCGAGGGCGGTGACAATGCCGCCTATGAAGAACGGGGAGGAGCCTCTGTGTGCAATGGCCTGGATATGATGAAGCATGAAAGGGGCAGCGTTCATCGGCTCGTCATTAAGCGCGCAGTGTAAGAACAGAAGCTCCTTGGAGTTGAGCTTATGGTTGCTTTCTCTAGCGAAGATGGTGTTGCATATGACCCGGTGAAAATAGCGGATTGCCGGGTTGTGGATGTGTGTGGCGTTGAGGCTTTGGAATGTGGATGCACGGGTGTTTGTTAAGTCGTGCCATAGAGTGAAAGCTTGTTCACTAAAATTATCGGGCACGCGACGGTGGGCTTCAGTTCCGTGGTCGAAGCCTAACAACTCGGCTATCCGGGTTTGCGAAAGGTTGAACTCTTGGCCATGCAATCGGAATGTTGCGATACCGGTGAGCTGACTCTGAGAACCGGGAGGGGTGATGTAACTGAAAGAGCTTAAGAACTCCAGAGTCAGAAGTTCGAATGTGGGCTGAGGTTGACGGCAGAGATCCCACAGACTGACCTTTTGCAGCAGGCTTTGAACGCTGGCAAGCATTCCGAGTTCCCTCAAACAGTCAGTGGCAATGTAGCGGGTAGGTTGCACACCGCGGTTTTGGAATCGGATGAAACGTTCTCTCTGGGTTACTCCAGCATTGCCGTCTCTAAAAGTGATGGAATCCATAGCATGCACGAGTGACGAGTGAGGGAAGAAGGTTTTGTGAGGTTTGGTGAAAAAAATGGTAGAATGAAGGAAATGGAGGTTCGGGTTTAATAAGGGAGAGTGTTAATGAGATGGGTTATGATAATGGGGGGTTAATGAGGGTAATGGGGAGGTTACAGGGGGTTATGGAAGGAATGGGTAGTTTTTGGGGAGGTTACGGGGGGTTATGGAAGGAATGGGTAGTTTTTGGGGAGGTTGTGGAGGAAGAAGAAGAAGGGGCACAATGAGAAACAGTTCTGTTTCTCACGATTCCTGTAATAGGGATAGTCACGGTCGTGACAGGGGCGTGACGGTCGTGACACGCTAATTAAGCACGTCACGATCGTAAGATGGGCGTGACGACCGTGAGGGCATGCTTTGCTGAATAATTTCCAGAAAAAAGCATTTTCTCACGTGATTCATAAATTAGTGATTCATAAATTAAGAATATTTTATTTTCTTCACTAACACTCATATTAAATAAACACCATATTGTA